GATTTTGGTTGTTTTTTTTAAATGGAGGTACTGGGGATTGAACCCAGCCCCCGTGCATGCTAAACACGCACACTACCACTGAGCTGTACCCTCTCCCCCAGCTAAGGTCCCAGGTCCTGAAAGCCTGCAGCCCCTAAAGCCCCCAGATCAGGCCCTGTATCGCCTGGGCCTCTCCTGGCTCTACCAGGATTGAAGGATGTAGGTCCTTTGGCTTGAAAAAAACTCCCAGGGCACAGTCTTCCAAAAGGCCTGGTTCCCTCAGCCACCCAGTGGCTGTTCCCCTAAAGCGGTCCGAGCACAGGCTGCTCAGTTCATGACACAAGAAGGACTTCACACGGGTGCAGAAAACACAGTGCCTGGCTAGCACCCTCATCCGTCCTCAACTCCTCAGGATCAAACTGAAGCTACACTTCAAAACCACAAAGGGATCTGGGCATTTTAACTGCTGAGTGATGAACTGTGATTACGGTGGGACATAATGATGACACACCAGGGAACAAGGGCTCTGTGCTCTGTAATTTGAGTTGGGATTTCGTTCAGCCCTCTACGAGGTCTCCAAAAACACCCACCGAAGGCCAAGTCACTAAAATTAGATGCTTATTTTCGGATACAGTTTTGGTAGGACAAACAAGAAGGGCTGCTCCCAGCCCAGGATCAACACACACCCTGAGTGAAGGGAAGAAGAGAGAATTCCGAGAAACCAAGAGAGCAGATCTAAGAGTTCTCATCCCAAGGGGAAAACCTGTTTTGTCTTTTTTTTCTTTTTGTGCGTGTGCCTATATGAGATCATGGACATTAACGAAACTGGTTGCGGCGATCATTTCACAATATACGTAAGTCATCATGCTGCGGACCCTACTTTTACCAGTGCTGTGTGTCCATGATATCTCAATAAAACTGAAAAGGAAGGAAAAAAAACCCCAAGAAACCAGCAGTCGGAGCTGTCTGGCAGGATGGGGCTGGGAGGGGAGGCTGGGGTTCAGGAACGGAAGAAGGATTTCATTTATATTGTTTGAAATTTTTAGGTTTTTGTTTTTTTTTTTTTAAATGCAGGTACTGGGGATTGAACCCAGGACCTCATGCATGCTAAGCATGTGCTCTACCACTGAGCTTTACTCTCCCCTTTAAAAAATTGTTTTGAGGTTTTTTTCGTTTTTATTTTTGTTTTTTACAATTTCACACTTAAAATTTTTTTAATTTATTTTTTGGGGAGAGGTAATTAGGTTTTTATTTATTTTTAGAGGAGGTACTGGGGATTGAACTCGTGCATGTGAAGCACACACTCTACAGAGCTCTACCCTCCCCTGTTTGATTTTTTAAATAAACCATAGCATAGATTACCCTTCATATAAGTGAATTTTTAAAATTAAGTTGAATTTAAAATCTATAAACAACGTGCTTATCCGTCAAGGAGAAAAACAGGGAAAAGCTGTGGTACTCAGGGTTTTGATTTACATTTCCAAATAAATAACAATTATGAATGGCTCAAAATCTGAGAGTATAAAAGACCCCATTCTCTGGCCACTGCCACCCTCCTCATGGGCATCCTGGTTGCCCATGTCTCGTGCATCCTTCCAGAGGTATTTATTCTTATCCGAGCAAACTGCACACGCACTCTGCCCCACCCTCTTTATCAACACACCTGATAGCACCTTCTGCCCCTTGCTCCTTCCACCAAGATGCATCTTGGTGATCTTTCCACCCCTGCATCAGAGAGGTGTGGCATCACTGACTTCACACTCCCCATCCTGACCAGCATTTAGGTTCTTTCCAAAGGTGTGCAATTACAAACAGGGCTCTAACCCTGTTCCCATGAGGAGGAACCTATTGAGGTTGGCAGACCAAGGACCCTGGAGCTGCATGGTCTGGTTTGACTCCTGGCTCCACCACCAATGAGCTGTGTGGCCTTGGGCACGTGACTTAACCTCTCTATTTTTCAGTTTCCTCGTCTGTAAAGTGAGGATAATAACAATAGCAATGTCATCAACCTCATAGAATTGCGTGGAAAATTAAATGGCTTTAATGCTGGTAGGACACTTAGAGCAGTGCCTGTCATATAGGAGCTGCTACATAGGGCATTTTAAATCTAGTGAGTGGATCATTTCATATGTAAGTGCATCTGTAGTCTATACTCCTTGTCAAAAAGAACGTGATTTGTTATTTTGATAGACATCGCCAAATTGTCCTCCACGGGGTCAGATCGCTTCACAGCCCTACAAAGCAACACATCAACACGCCCATCTTCCTACAACCTTGGATGGACAATCTGTTACCTCAGAGGCATTCATCTTGCACTTCTCTTCCTGACATGAGATGCTGAGCATCTTTTCTCATGATTAAGAGCTTGACACCTTTCTGATGTGATAAAATTGAAGCAATTTAGCAACTCAGAAATGTACCAGAAATATCTGCTGGGAACAAGTGATGAGGCTTCTTCAAAGACACAGAAAAGTGCACCTTGGCCATGTCCGCATCAAACACAAGTGAACAAGAAGGTGTTTTGCTCACATGTGGTTTAAACTTTTGATCCTTTTCTTCATCGGCAAGAGATACTCAGGAGAGTCTAGGAGGGACCAGGCGCTGTGCTGGTGAGTTAGGGGCACAGAAAAGGAAGCAGGCAGGTAGAGGCGGCCCCAGAAGGAGCCCTCCCCTCTCCTAGAAGGTTCTAAGTGGAAAACCTGACCTGAGAGGAAGGTTTAGACAGCAGGGATTTTGGAGATACTTCCTTCCTTTTTCTTTTACTTAAAGGTGAACATGCTTTTTAAAACTTTTTATTTATTTTATTTTGGGGGGGAGGTGATTAGGCTTTTAAAAATTTTTATTTATTCTAATGGCAGTACTGAGGATTGAACCAGATTGTGCATCTAGTCATGCACTCTACCACTGAGCTATACCCTCCCCTCCAACATGCTCGTTTACTTGTACCAAAGGAGTCTGTTTTTCCTGCCTTCTGCCTTTTCTGTCTTCATAAGACATGAAAATAAGTATTACACTGGATGATATAATTTGAAATGCAATTCTCTGTTTAAGGTTTTGTTTTTTTTTATGGTTGGGGTTAATTAGGTTTATTTGCCTTAT